CCAATTTGCATCCTGCAACACAAGCTTCCTCTACGTTACAATAAGTACAAGATGCGTTGGATCAGCAGCAACTATGTCGTCTTCTAGTTCGCCGTTGGCGCGCAATGCAGTTTGGTCTTACAATCATGCCACCAACAAACATCTCGCAGACAGATGGACTCACTTCGGCATCTGCTAGGAGACTGCATATTTACAATATGCATTTCGATCACCGCATTACCGCAAGCGGCAAGACAAGTGGAGATCTTACTTGAACGTCGACGGTGAGCCAAATGATAAAGAGTTTCTAAGACACTTTCGTGTTAGCCGCAGGACTGCTCGATCTCGTTCATGATGATCCTGTCGTTAAACCATCGGGTCGTCGTGCATTTCGAGGGGGGGGGGGGGACTGATTGCATCTGCTGATATTACTGAAGTTTGTAGGCAGATCAGGGAACGTGAATACATCACCCAAGTTGGCTCATTTCTTCGGAATTGGAAAAGGGTCGACTAAAAACTATATTCGACGCGTGTGCGGTGCAATTCTACGCCTGTAACCTTGTACATCACTTGACCTGATAAAGAAGAGCGCAGTATGATTGCTAGGCGTATACAAGATAAGTTCAGGTTTGTGAATTGCATCGGGCTCGTTGATGAAAGGTTGTTGCCGTTAGAGTTCAAACCGGAAAAGAACGGCAAAGACTATTTCTCACGAAAGGGCCAATATTCGTTACAAGCTCTTATTATTTGTGACAACGTTGCTCGTGTTCGTGAAGCTATTGTGGGTTGGCCAGGCAACGTTCACGACAATCGCGTTTGTTTTATAACTTAACTGTACAAACTACCACATCGATTTTGCACTCACAATCAGCATCTCCTTTGGGATTTAGCGTGTCAACCATCGGCAATTATGGTCCCAGCATTTTAGAAGCCCCCAAATCAGACTTAAACACATACAAGAGGTACGTTAACACCCAGCTTGCTAAGGCCCATATCAAGACTGAACATTGTATCGGTCTTATCAAAACACGATTTCAGTAACTGGAAGAGTATGCGACGTCTTCTTCAACTTATTACCTATTTTTTATATTCCGCAACTTATTGATCTACGAGCCTATCCCGACGAGTGGTAAGAAGACGTCAAGGAGTACGGCAACGGATTGACCGAAGACGACGAGCTAAGTCAACCAGTGAGTCGAAATGCTGGGGGAGGAGAGCACCGAGAGTAGCTCTTTCACTATTTACTCGACTTCTGCGGTGCTCAAAGGGAGTAGAGCGTCAATTTCAGGGAGAGCAATGTCTTCTTCACGAAGTTTATGGCGCTCACGTAACAGATTCGCCTTCCGACTGAGAGCGCATGCTACTGCTTGATCTTCCATGTGCGGTTTTCGAGCTTCTGATTATGCAATACGAGCCTGAATCTCAGTAGTAGCAGCCGAAGCATTTGCAAGTTCTAGTTTAAGGGTCTGTAATTGAAATTTCTTATCGTGAGCAAGCTGTTGTCGTATTAGTTCCACCAACGGGTGACTCGAGTTTAGTCAAACGACAGTGTCCTTGGTTTGCTACCTGGCAAATCCAATCGACCGACGTGTACTGGAGCTCCTCTTGTAAATAGATCTGCTTCGTTTCGCCGATTCAACTCCACCCTGCTGATGCGACGGAGTAGAAGGTCTACCAGTCTCTTTACCATTGCTGGCACGTCACTCTTATCGCCCTCTTCAACGGAACCAGACACACGGCTAGCAGTTAGACGCTTACCGCACGCTTCGTCGGGGTCAGAGTCACTTCTAGCTGTTGCTCAGTTAACGCTATCTTCAAAGGAACTTGAACCTCTGCTAGCTATCACAGCCTTTTCGTCCTCAAGGCCACCGTCTACTGTAATGGCTGACTCGGTCTCTGATGACTCAGCACTACTATTCTCGCTCACACCGAGGTTGTCCGTACTGAGCATCAGCGGCGCCGTACTTGGCCGATCGTGCATGATATCGTATAATTCGTAGTAATACAGACAACGGGATAGGATAGTAGAGGTTTTTAGCAGAACTGTGTAATCTGAAAGCAACGGTTACTCATATGGTGATTTTGCCTAACCACAATTCGGAATCGACAAGTCCGAACAGGCAAGTGAAAAGCAAATTCCTATTCGGTCATATGCTAAGAGCCACCACTAAATCGTTCTAATACCGACGTTAAATTTTAGGTGGATTGGGAGAGGCACTTTACCGGAGATTTGTCTCTGTGCTGCACTTTTGAACTTCGTGTTGACTTCGTATCAACATCCCAGCTCCCGTCATGTCACGAATCCAAGAAGAAGAGGCCCAGGACGTGCTTTTGCTAGTTCGAGAGTTAACATCGGGACTTCGCTGCCGTCACAAGACAGCCTATCTTTACGGAATCTGGAAGAAAGAACTGCTCGAAAACAACACAACTCTTGCGGCCGCAATCTACCCGTATTTGTCAGCTGAATCCCCTCCGGAGGCAACGCGTCGGGTGCCGTTTAACTTCAACGCACTATCTAATAACCAGTGTATCGAACGTTTTCGCTTCGATCAGCTTCAGATTGTGGATTTAGGGACTCTTTTTGGAATTGAAGGAATTCGAACCCGAGGGCAGACTGTTGCTACTGGTGTTGAGGGAATCTGTATCGTCCTCTACAAGCTTGCTGTTCCGATACGCTGGGTCGATTTAGAAGACTTTTTCGGAAGGGATTCCAGTGGTTTATCAAACATTCTCCTACACATGTTAGCCATTTTGGACGATAAATTTTCTCGGCTGCTTCATTTCAAGCACGAATACGCTGCGGAGAACCTCCCAGCCTATGCAGATGCTGTACTTGACGCTGGTGGCGCTTTACAAAACGTGTGGGCTTTATTGACGGGACAGTGCGTGGAATTTGCAGGCCGCTTCCCCGCCACGCCAGTTCTTCTTCAGTAAGCGTCCTCGGTCTCGGACCTGCTTCTCCAGGCCGACGGTTTGGATCGCAGCTGACACACGCTCAGCTACGGTCGCCCAAACTCGAGCAGAGTCTCCGTACTTTGCAGCAAACGGCTTTTGTGCAATTGCTTCCCTCATGAGCTCCTTGTCATTCTCCTCGGCTGAGGCGTGTATTGATTGGAAATGAGGAGGCATCTAAATTTTACCCCTAGAGCAGCTAATATAAAGCAACCACCCGGTAAGATCATGATGAACACGGACGGTTTGGCTAAAGTTAGAGAAGTCTATTTGTCGATTGTAGTTACAGATGATTGCACATTTTATACCGATACAGATCAGCTAAAAACCTCTAGTATCTCGTGGGCACTTCTTATCCTGAACCCCTGGCCTGTTGTACTAAGCCAGTCGGTCGCTGCCTTGAACGACTGCTCGAGACTCGCAATCTTAGTTTGTATGTCTTTGACAGTTCGTGGCGTAGTCCTCCGGCAGATTGATAAAGCTAGGAATTTCGCCCGCGATAGAGTACTTGGTCTCGCCACTTTGAGCATCACCACAGCGACAACGCGAATAGTGCGGTACCAGTCGTCATCCAGTCAATAAGACACCTCACAGAGAAAATGCTTGGTGAGGGGCCGTCGCTGTGCCATGCAATACGCTTTTACGTTGAGGCTAGTTCGTCCGAAACTTTCAATGCTTTCAGCACAGCGTTGAAGCGCCGGTTACCACAAACAGCAACTTGAACGTCGCTGCCACTGTCGAACTTGTCCAGCAAGTGGGGCGATGAGCATTCTTCGTTTTTAGTAAAATTCCGTGCCAAAAAAAACTGGTGGACACCCTGCCTTGCATCGTCAACAATTGGTACGTCATACCATTTTTGGACCTACCCCTTAAGAGTGGGTTAAAACACTCTTCGCTGGTTTTGTCCATGCGTTCGTTCCTTTAAATAATACTGGAAACTGTGACCTTGCTCCTTGGAGTGACTGCAGCTGAAATTTCCAACCTCGAAATCGCGGTAAAGACTAGGAATACCTCTTCTATTTTTGCTGTTTAGCGTGTGCTAATGGCCAAGAATAAGAATGCCATAGAAAAAATTCGCACTGTTGACTAGGAGCGAGCGCTCTAAAGCGCATCCATTTTTGGATCGTGAAATTTATTCGCCATAGACGACAACACACATGAGGTTGGCAAAGATTCGCCGTCACGATAGATGTTACCTTAAAATCAATGATGTTCCAAGACCGCTCAAGGCATCGTAAGGGTCCACGACAACAGGCACATAAAATTTTGCTGCTTAATGCAGATGGGTTGCCGGCCAAAGCTGACGTTTTTAAATGATTGTGCACATGTTTCTTCCAAATTGTTAAATCTTTCTACAATTGCCACAATTCGTTTCTCAGAGGATAAGCTTATGTTTTGGAAGTCTCTCAATACTTCACCAGGTTACAAAATACAGATGAAGGACAGTCACTAGAAGCCTAAGTATCCCGACCGTGACAGTTTTGCCCTTAACCGGAATAAAAAAAATACATACACACCCATTTTAAATAGTAGGCTATTACTCTCAGATGCAAATTAGAAAGTGATATTAGTAAATTAAAAGTCTGCACTCTTTTGTGTCTAGACTATCTACTAACCACTCATTGCTATATGCAAATTAGTTTACGAACGTCCCGTAAGCTAACCTGTAACTCGTCCCGTAAACCGTACCATAATCCTAAAGATTTAAATAATACAATCAACGCGGATACGTTACACTTTTGGGGTGGTCAATACTACTGGTCAAAATGCACTTGCACGCAAGTCGACTGGAAAAACATTTATGTTGCTGCAGTCAGACCCTCATATTTATTTTCGACCCACACAATTGAGCCACACGGTTCCAGACCAGGAATCATAGGTCCGACAGGAAAATCACAGTTCCTTTATCAGATGTAGAAGATTGTAGTTTGACAACAGTTTTTTCCACAGTTTGACGTATTAAAAATATCAGGTTAGCATTCTATGTAGAAAGTGTCTCCAACGACTCATGCGGACAGAGATTTGCCTTGAAGTAGCAACTGGACCAGGATTTTTGTTCGTACTATTATCTCCGCAGGGGCAACAACGTGAGTAGAATGGCCGCGTTACTGGATCATAACATAGGCACACACGCGTAGTATAGATAAGTTAAATCGTGGCCTCCATGGACAATCGGAAGTCACACTTCTGCATCCTTTTATTACTCTCGTGGGTGTAGTTGTAAGAAGCACGGGAGGTGGCGTCTATCTAGTTCTGGAGCACCTACTATACCAGTAATAACTATTTCTGATATATTCTGTTAGTGATCGTGCCAAGCGAATCACTACCCATTTACTGCGATATCGTGATGCTATCGTTTAGTACACATAGGTGCGCTGGATTATCTATTACATGTTCGTTTATGAGCCAATAACTCAGTAAAACAGTTTTTTCTTCGACCCACAGATAGTCGTTTGTATCGTAATACACGTTGTTGACGATATTGTAAAATTACTACGACCCAACAGTAACAAAGGTTAAGACCTGTCCATAAACGTTTACGGACAGTTCATGTCCTTGTGATCGTAGTTAACATGTTGCAACTAACAATCCGTTAACGTTTACGGACACGCAAATACCTCTTTTTTTGCAAACTCATTGTAATCATTACTGCTGGTCTGTGATCAAGTGTTGATCCGACCACGGCCCTGGAACAATAAAGAATGTACTCTATAAGACGGCACGAGCTGTCTTTACTATTGTAAGTTTACTGCTATTAAGAGGTATTGGATGCAAACACAGACGTTAATTAAGTACCAAGCCGAAGTAAAAATGAGATATACTAAAGCGATACTACCGTGTTACATATGAAGTACTGCAGTTGGATTGGTTTTTCACAAAGCGCGAATGCGTCCAATCAGAGCCCGCTATTAATGTTTTTCTCTTTTCATTAAATTAATGTGATAATGATATGATTTTGATTCCCGATCTGACCAATCAGTGGCGGGTATATCGCTTTTGTTTATCTCTTGTTTTACGTCCAAAGAACCAGGTCGAAGTAAAATAAGAGATATACCATATGAGGGAAGGCGTCCAATCAGAAATCTCCGTTTGCTCTGTAATTTGTTCTTTTTCAGAGAGACCTCACTGAGGTCATTGAATAAATGGGATGGCCAAGAGATGCGCATCGGTTTTTGTCACCTATCTGACCAATCACGAGCGCGTGTATTAACTTGAAATAACCCTTTCTTACTTCGACCTTCTCCTAAACAACAGATTACACCGAAGAGAAGCCCTTCACAAAATATGGACCCGGGCTCCATTTAGAATTTGAAAAAAAGTAAATGGCCCGCACATATTATAAACCCGTTATAACGGCTGGTAACTAAATGATTGGCAGGTTGTGAAGTACCTTTTCATCCATCAATTGAGGTTTCTATTCCAGTACATTCGCTTCAGTCGACCTGCTTTTGCTGTTATTGTAGGCTGCAATTAAGGCAGTCTTTTCTTAGGGAGGCTATCTCTCTTTGATTAGTCCATTCACCTCATTTAGTAGCCCTGTACTATTTAGAAGTCCGTCCCCTCAAGGCTTATGGGGCAACTGTAAATAGTGACTATTGGGTGTCATTCAGTTGGTTTTCTGTATTGCATTGTCAATTGCAAAAGGAATAATTCGACACGGTTATAACACCACTTTAATGAATCCGCGTGGAAGCATCACAAGACAGGGTGCGCCGCATATCTTTACCTGGTTCGACAAACACTTTGCAATATTCTCTCGACTCCTCACACACAAGCAACAAGAGCATCCATGCGACACGCACAGACCTTCGTAGTGATCTCGACAGCCTTTCTAGCTTCCAGCAAAGCCCTCTCGACAGCCACGAAGCTCAGTCAAATCTCCACGGAGCCTTGGGTCGATGGTCCTAACCAACGTTTCGTGAGGACCCACCCCACTCCCGACGAAGACGATGATGACCCCGAAGAAACTCATCTCACTACCGTCCAAGATAACAGCGACTCCGAAGAAGGAGGTCTCAAGAGCAAAGACTGGGAAGAACTAGCAAAATACGCTAAGAACTTGGGTCTTGATGTGGAGAGAGCTGAGCGGAGCGCAACGTATCTGCATACTATGCAGGATGCATACACGAAGTACCAAGCGCAACTTAACAAATTGATTCAAAAGCGCCGATCCAAGGGCCCCTCGATGATCTCGTATGAACGTCGGGGATAACGGGATGTCTCTGCGGTTCAACCAAGTCCAGTCTTAAACAAGCACCGTGTAGAATGTACAAATTGAGAGAGCGCTCGAGGTTTGTATTCACAACCGAAAATACAGTCGAGTTTCTCAACACGACAAATTTGAAGGGGAAAAAATACATTCGACCCGTCGACATTTTTGGAGCGATATAACGTCTATGATGCCCTACAGGATACTCCGTATCTCTCCCGGTGCCATACCTGTTTACTTTGATATTAACTATTGCCACAGGATAGTCGGATCCGATAAGAAGGATGTTCCCTCCTGATATCACATACACGTTAATTTCCCTTCATATCCAAAGTAAGATCCGTTCTTTAATTAACTATGCCATACCATACCATACCATACCATACCATACCATACCATACCATACCATACCATACCATACCATACCATACC